CCACTGAACCAAGCGTGATTAAAAGTTGGAATGTTGCAGTAAATTTTGTCTCTTTTGGGTAAAAGTTTAACTTTGAATACTTTATTGATGTATCATAAGGAAGTATTGCGAATTATAGTAAGCTATTACTGTTTGCTGTCGTACGAAGATCTGATTTCATATGGAACTCGCCCATTCGGCCAAAGCATACGTTCATCAGAATAGACTGATCTACGATGAATAGAACCGTTCGCATTTGGTGGAACAACTAAAAAGTTTCGTTTAATGAAATTATTATTTGTAATTTCATAACTTAATTCTTGCTTGATGCATAACCGGTGATAAAACAACAAATAATCGAAGATGAACGTCGATGGTGAATGCATAAAAAATGAGAAGCATCATGAACGAATGACAATCAACTCACTGATATCTCCCTCGATGATATTCGGATCCTTTAAGTTAGCTTCAATAATCTCAGTTCTTTCTTTTTCGACCTTGTCGATTGATTCCTCGCGGGTCATTTCGTCATCAGGAACATGGTCCCCATGCTCATAGTCTTTTCCCGTCAGAAACTTTTTTGAACCATCTGGAAGGCTCGCCTGAACGATTCAGAACACTATCAGTGTCGTTCTCCAACAAGACTTCATTCATTTGTTTAGAAACTATGCCTATGATGAGGCCTCTCAGTTCAAAGAAATGCCCATACTCATCATATGACTTTCCAATCGATTCAGAATCCTTGTTGAAATTGGATGAAATTACCACTTTATTCGTAACTACCTTTCCACAACTTCACAAACCCGATTTTGAATTGAAATTACTTGGACTGTTTATTATTCTGAATTATGAGCAGTCAGCTACAGTCAAGTGAAATTATAGTAAATCCCATCCAAACTCAAAATTCTCTTCGAAAAATATGCGTTGTCACAGATTTCTTTGATGCTTTGCAACGGTCATTCTTCTATGTTGTAATCTAGAAAAGATTGTTAGGAATATACAGTATTCAGATTAAACACCTCATTTTGTGGGAAGGCACTGATGAAGATCGCCAGTTGAGCAGCGACTAGAAGTAGAACACTGTAGCGACACATCACTGCAGTGACCGGTTAGCAGATTGAGATTTGATTGAGTTCAGTGCACAGCGGAGTCTTTATAAGCATTCCGTTTATGTTGACACAGTCTTCATCAGTCAATTTTGGCCTCACCGATAGCTTTTTGTGTGTACTGTTCGAATTTTCATTTTAACGGACATCCTTTCCTAGATGCTGAACAAACTTTCATTTATGTTAATTTCTTTCAAGCTTGTGATTTTTCTTTTCAGTAATGTTTGATGCTCAAACACAACTTAGAATTCAGATGTACAAACAGCAGTCCTTCGATTCGCACTGACGAATTCAAATGAAT